TCTATAATGAAGCTTTATTTGTTTTAGCCCTGGTTATGGGGGGAGAGAGAAAGCGCTACATGATTCTTGTAGAAGTGTTTTGGGGAGGGTTCCAAACAGGTTCAGAAACTCTAAACCGTGTGGTGGTTCTCAGAAGTTGTCTCGCGGCCTGCATGCATAACCTGACGGGCTGCCGTTTCCGTCCTGACGATCTATAAAAGGGCAGGTAGTTCTCACTGGTCACTAACTTCCATATCACATGGGAATGTCTCGAAATCGTCACTTGATGATCCTTTACAAGAAGCCCTATACTCGCCTCATAATTCCTAGATAGCCTAGGGTCGATTAGGGCCCCCCCATGTCTTATGGGAGGTTCTCAAGATGAACTCTGTCCTACTGTAGGGTTTGGAGGTCAGGGTTTGGAGTTTAGGGGTTTAGGGTTTAGGGGTTTATAGATTAGGGTTCAGCGGTTGAGGGTTTAGGGTTTAAAGTTTGAGGGTTTATGAGGCTGAGGGATCCTAGTTTTACTGAGACTTGCAGCCGGTTAGAAGTTCCAACCTTCCGCAGAAAATACCTTGCTTAGGAGAATGGGTCCGCCATGTTACCTGTTTTTTGGGGTCCAGATATCTGTGTTCTTCTGATTATTTTGAGATTCCTCCAATACACAGATTTTTAAGGAGACCGCAAACTCACTTGATAGTCTCCATATGTCCATTAAATTTTGAGGGCGTGTCGACCCCCCTTGATAAAATACTGTCAATATAGGGATTACCGCGGGATTATTAAGTTTGGACATAGGGTTTTATTGGTAATGAAGTATCGTCCCACACACATTCCCTGCTAAGGGCCCATGCCCATAAATTACGTTCATACCGAAAATGTTAGTTGTTGCTTTTAACCCTAAACTCTAAACATTAGTATCCATTTAATTGTCCATTATCTTTTCCGTTTTGATTTTACATTAACATATAGTGTCCATTTCATGTTTCCTTGTCTTTTCCATTTGATTGTCCTAGCTTTATTTGGGAATTTCAGGAAGCACCGGGATAGTTCATGACAGGCCACGAAAAGGTCGGCCTTTCTTACGAAAGAACACCTTTTCTCTTGATATCTCATGCATCATGGTCAACCGCTTAGGGCCGGCTTCAAACATTAAACCCTGGAAACCATTGATAGGATCAAGATTTTAGGGCTTGGGATTTAGGGTTGCGGGTTTCGGGATGTCCCCTCCTTCAGGCCCGTCATCTTCTCTGGTCCTCTAGGCCCCTGGAGCAATGTAGGTTTGAATTCCAAATTCATTGCATGTGCGTGTGCAAGCAGTACCCTGAGCCGGAAAACTTAAGCCGGATTCGCGAGAGTGTGACTTCGGAAAAAGGGAGGTTTGCAGATGGCTTCGTACTTGGAGGATGGAAGCGCAGCATGCTGCATCAGAAGCTGCCACTAAAACAGCCCTACCTGAAGGACCCTTCCCCTTGAAACCTGAACATTTAGCACTGTTTCGTATGCAGGTTTTCTGACGGAGACAAGTTTAGTTTTGAAACGCGAACGCCAAATGAGTGTCAATTCTGGCCCCTAACATCAAATATTCTCGGTATATTGTAGTATACCACAATGGCAATATCTAACACGGGTGGGGGGCTGGGGATAGGGGAACGGGATCATCGTCCTAAAAGCCTTAAATTCTTTGATTTAGAAGCTGTTCAACAAAAGATCTTAATGCCCACTCCCGAAAAAAGATATACATATATATAATATATAATATATGTATATATACTTATATTTATATTCGAACCTCCATGTGATACTAGAGAGGAGTGGCTTTCACTTCTATGTAGGCGCGGGGACTAAGAAGCCCTAAACCCTAAACCGCAGTTCCAGAGTCCCAGAGGTCCTTTCAACCAGAAAGCTCCCTAATGCAAGATTTAAGATTTAGGGTGTTAGGGTTTAAGGCTTAGGGTTTGGGGAGGGTTTAGGGTTTAGGGCTTAGGGTATCTGAACCCCCAAAGTATGTAGAACATTGACCAAGAATCATGGAACCATGAGCTTGTAGTATGGACCCTTGGTCTTGGGGCATCTGTACGCTGGGGCGGTACTAGACTGCTACTGTCAATTCTTCGTGGATGGAGGCCATCATTTCTAGCCCAAATAACCTCAAGAAACAGCGTTGAGCCTTGAACTCTAGAGTTTGGAAATCTAGTTGACAACAGTTATGACTCCCTTCATATATTCTTCCCCCGGGTTCCACTAACTATTCCCCATAGTTCCCATAACATGCCTTGCATATTTGGTCATGTGGAATGTCAAGGGTGGGGTGAACAAATGACCAACTTATCCTACATTCTTACAGTTGCCTACCATAAGCGACCTCAAGTCTAGTCAACTACGATCTCCCAAATTCAACTGGAGGGATAATTTGGGTGCCAAAGACCTATGACGGAACCGAGTTGTGCTCAAATTATATTCAGTATTAAGGTCCTGGACCCATAGGCTAAACCTTAAAGCAAAGCTTGAAGCCAAAAACCTTGACCCTAAACCGCCTTTCGTCTAGGAGCAAGCTGCAGCTGTAGGGTGGGGGGGGCCCCTAGCTGCTGGAAAGCCTCGTGAGGAACCAAGTGAGGGTGGATCTAAAAGTCCATCTGGGAACTTACGGTAGGTCTACAAGGGAAAGCCTTGGGGAAGTTATTTTCCATAGTGGCGTTTTGGGGACAAAAAGTTGATCAGGTACCAACTGGCGACGCCGGGTGCTGGGTTAAATGGTTTCAAGCTGAGCTCAGTTTTGGGTTGGAGCTCAGGATTCTACAGGGTTTAGGTCTTATAGGGTTTACGGTTTAGGGTTGAGGTTAGGGTTTAGGGAGGGTCATACGGTCTGCAGTCAGCAGTTTAAAGTCAACACTCAGAGTTCTCAGAATCGAGGGAGCGTTGCAGAGGACGCGTGCTTTTCATGCTTCGGTTGCGGGCGTGTATGGTGGCCCGTTTTCGAGGTTGTAACCTACCGGCATTCAGAGTTCCTCGTAAGAACTGTTGAAGCCGGCCGCTTGTGCTGCAATGGCCAACTCGCCCAAGTTGCCCATATCTTATTTCCCGAGACGCAATGTCATACCCGGTAGATCGCACAGGGCGGCGTTGCAAAATCATGGCACGAAGATCCTAGAAAGATGGCAAGAAGATCCTTGACAGGTGCTACCGCCCTCAAATCCACATGGAACCCCACGTAGACTCCTTTCAAGTGACAGTAGACGTATAGAGCCCTTTGTAAAGGGGGAGGGCATCAGCCTCAATTGATGCATTGACATGCCGCCCGAATGAGCAGCCACCCCAAACCCTAAACCCTAAAGGGAGCATCAACAAGCTGATCAACCCAAAGAGGCTTTTGAATAAATCAGGGGTTTCCCAACATCACGGGTACCTCTTACTAAGGATTACAGTATGTCGGGGTCTATACGGGGGTTCCCCCTGTTTATTGAAACTACCATACTGTGCCAAAAACCCTTCCTAAACGTCTTCTATTGAAGCAGACAGCAATGCGGTTACAATTAAGTCCGCTCAGAGCCCTGAGCACTAGCCACCCCAGGGAACCTTTGGCCTTCAAAGCTTTACTTGAAGGTTCCGGAAGACTTAGGAAGTATACCTATAACCTAGATCCATAACCAGTTACTAAACTCACCTACGCACCAAGTCCACCCCCGACCCTGAACCCGGAACCCCAAACGTTAAGCAATATAGTGGTTCCATTCCCTGCTCATTACACTTTCTAAGCCTTCAAGCCTATATCCTAAGCCCTACAGATAAGTCCCGATAAGGACCTCCAACTAAACCCTAAACCCTCAACCCTAAACCCTAAACCCTCAACCCTAAACCCTAAACCCTAAACCCTAATTAAGCCCCAACCTTGAAGTTCGATAGCATCCCAAAGCCTGCGTCCATACTTTGGGATTCAGGGACTAGGGGTTTAGGGTTTAGGGTTTAGGGTTAGGACTTATGTGGGTTAGACATTACCTGGACCCCAAAAGCATGTAGAATAATTGCCTTTTTGGCTGTTACTAGGGGTTTAGGGCTATTATGTTGCCTACTTTTGGGGCTTAGGTAGGACTTAGGGTTTAGGAGCTAAGGTCGGCTTGAGAAATCCCAACCTACAACTGGTAATGGAACATGAAAGAACGAACATGCTATAGAACATCATATAAAACCCTGCATATGATGATTGGCGTAGGGCTGGCTTGATGAATAGGGAAACAGATCTCCAAACCCTAAACCCTAAACCTTGGGTACTGCTCCCCCTCAGTAACAGTTGGATAAAACATACAATATGGTTATATATGGCCCGTTATAGGACCCCAGACTGTGGCAGGACCCAACCTAAACCCTAAACCGGAGCCTTAGTTATCTGAGCCCGAGCTTCCAGTAGGCCTTTCTGGTACTAAGCGGGGTGGGCAGGAAGAAAATGGTGCGGCTATGAGAGGATCTCAGGAGCCCTTCAACACCAGTAACTCGGTCGGAGCTATTCAAATGAGATGGGCCCCCAGAATACCCTCCAATTTGAAGCACCTTCCCCTGTGTGTGATCACGGCTCATGGTTTAAGATTCAAGGCTTAGGCCATCCTACTCTAGACCCCCCCCCCAAACCCTAAACCCTGAACCTAAACTCTAGCGCCTGAGACGCTAGACCTGAACCCTAAATTTTAGAACTCCTCAGCCCTGGGCCAGGATCCAAGAAAACCAAACCCCGAGCCTTAAACCCCTATAACCCCTAAACCCTGAACTTCTCAACGCCAAGCCCCAACCCTGAATCCCAAACCTTATACCCCAGACTCCTTAACCCCAAGCCGCTAGACCCACCCGCCTCACTCCACCCCTTCAAATGAGCCATAGCCAAAGATCGCCCTCAACAACCCCTATAGTAGTCCCCTATATAATCCCCAGTATAATCCCCTTCACGGAGTTCAGACCCTAAACCTAAAACCCTAAACCCTATATAATCCCCCTTAAGCAGCTCAAATCAAAGCTTTGGCTGTCGGAGGGCCATGGCTCGAAGAGTGCGAAGTCGACGAGCGCAGCTTGCGCTGTTGGCCTTGGTGGCAGTGCGGAGCTCAAAATGGTAAAAGTAGCGGCCTGAATAATGTCGTGTTTAGGGTTTAGCTCTAAGGCTTTAGGGTTTATCGCTTAAGGTTTTGGGTTCAAGGTCTAGGGTTTAAGCCTTGAAGCCTAAACCCTGAACCAGTTTAAGGCTAAAAGTTAAGGGTGAAAGGGCTAAGGCCCAGGGCTTGGGGCTGAGGGTACAGGGCTCAGAGATACTAACGGAGAATCAGATGGAACAAATCATGCGAAATTACATGGAAACTGCTTAACATTTTGAGGTACTCTATACCAAAGTTTTGAACGAAGTCTAGGACCATGAAAGTGTCAGCTATTTCAGCATTAATTTCTTGGATGTTGGTCTAGCGGGCTTGAGGATACTAGATTATGGGCTCGAAAGTCCATGGTTTTATGGTTTGCAGTTCAGGGTCCAGGGTTATGGGTTAAGGGTTTAGTTTTCATAGTTTAAGTCATTCGGGTCCGGATTTCAGAATCTAGACTCGGGAGCTCAATTCCAAATCTAAAAAATCACGGATTACAGTTCCCTTTGGTAGTCAAATGCTGGAAAAGATATTTGTACGTCCCAAAAGGCTTGGGGTCCATAACTATTAAGAGCAGATAGTTTATAGGGAGTTCTATCGTGAGTTCATGTCAGGGTATCATACTGTCGAGTTTTGAGTTTCCGCTTCTCCTCGGGATGGGGCCGCCAGTGTTTAGATGAAAAGGTTCACAGTTCTGTGAGAAGTCGCAGATTTCAAAATTTGCTTCCCCCCGCAATCTCCAAAACCCCTGCAGACCCAAACCCCAAACCCTTGATGTTCGAACCATGTTCCAGGGCAATAAGCATCCTCTGCTCTGCAAGGTGTACAAGTGCCCCTCCATGAGGCTCGCAAATAGAAACACTTGCATGCAGCCGAAACCCGCACTGAGAGGAATATAGGGTTTTTAGGGTTTAGGGCCTTGGAGGAGGAACCAGCGAAGGTACCTCCCATGTACGGTCTACGTAGGCACTCTTTATTGCGAGCGGCGCGCCACGTCCAGCTCCACAAGATTTGCCAGCATGCCGGAGTTCTGAGCTGGTCGCATTTTACGAGCACAGCTTTGCTGATCCTTGGCTGCGAGTTGTTATCAAGACCTGCGCTGGAGTCGCGCAGCACACTTGCAGAAGCATTCGAGGCATACTAAGTGCCGAAATGATGGGGCTCCAGGTATAGTATGAATGGATTTCGGTGCCTGAAGCCCTAGAATTTGGGTACCTGGACCCTGGTAGGGTTTCTTTACCAACTATCACGCAAGTCAACGAAGCCTTCGTCTGGTAGATTTCTTCCCTGAGGTGCGTATCAGTAAGTATACCTTTGAGTGTTTCCTTACTTTGCTCCAAAAAATTGCTATTTCAGATAACAAATCCTCAGCCCCTAAACCCTAAACTCTAGGCCACGGAACCCTAAACCCCTAAACTCTACGTGAGCCTAAACCCTATTCTCTACGCAGCCTTCATGTCTAAAGCCGTCTGCTGCAACATTTGCGCCAAATTTTCAGCAAGAGGAAGCTGTTATGAGGGGTCCCGGCTAGGAACAGAGATGCACATTAGAATCGAAAGGTCAAGGCATTACTGGACCCTATATGAACACGATTTAAAAGCTCAGTGTTGAGGGAGCCAAGTCAGGAAGCACCCTAGCGAAGGGGCATATGTGGTCCTGAGTCAGGAAAGGAGTGTTTGTGCACGGCTTAGTCAAAAGAAGAGGAGGCACAATGGAAAGCGTAAGTTCTAGTGGCCCTCACGGAAACAGTCCTGATCGCTCAGACATCCACATTAAAAGTGAGAGACAAGAGCACTCAGGCCGTTGCCAGTTGGCAATCGAGTTTCGTTCTCGGAGGCGTGTGCGGACAGCACTTGTTAAAACTTGGATTATCACATGGTCTGGTCTTCTAAGGTCAGGACTAGCGCGCACTCGTGGGATATCTTGACCCCCCCAAATCCTCCATCCATCCTTGCGGGTGTCAGAATGTGAGAGGCATCAGCTCATTCGAGGTGCTGAGATTATATTCGAATGATACAACCTTGGGCACAGGCAGCAGCTCTGTCGCTTCAACCCACTCTAAGTACGCTGACCTCAAATGTAAATGCCAAACCGTGTGTGTTACACTCCTGCCAGGGTAGCTTCATAAGGACAGTGTTGATCGCCGTGGGGTTTTGATTGGCCTCTGGGTCGCTGTTGGAAATCATTACAATCTAGTATGTTACAACACAAGACAACCATGCAACCCCTTGTTCTGAACCAGGTTGGCACAATCCCTGACCAAATGATGCACTATAGTCGCCCATTATCTATTTCGTGAAATACCTACCTAGCTGATCTAGGGGAATTATATGAGCTATAGTCTAAACTCCTAAATGGGGGTTATATAGGGAATTATATAGGGGACTACTATAGGGGTTATTAAGGGGGATACTAGGAGTTTAGACAATGGCTCATATAAGGGAGTATTATAGGGCTTATTAAGCTCCTTGGGACTTAGCTTGGACCAGAGACGCTCAACCCTTTGAAATTCCCTTGTACTCCTATTATAGGTACCTGAGGGCATAACCCTTAGTAGGGATCCTAAGTGCCACGTAGTAAGCGGGATACCAGGAGACTATAGCTCACGGATCTTCCCCAGGTTATAAACCCGCAGGAAACCCTTGGACGATGGCAAGACGAGAACTGCCAAAAGGATTGTTTTCAAAGCTGGAAGAAGCTATACACAGTATGTATACGTGTATATGTATATATATATATAGGTATACATATCCCCCCCGCCCCCCGCCCCGGGGGGGCACGTTGTTTGGATGAGCACGTCCATCCAAGCCCTTTTGCGCAGCGAACCTACTAGCCCAGAGATCCATAATCAATACCAGAGAGATTCAAGCGCTTTGGATTCCATCTGTTCCTGCGGTGGGTACACATCACATGAAGAAAATCCATCAGCTTCATCAACGCGTAGGTCCACTGCTCACCGCTTATGCGCCCTCAGATGTTGTGTCGCGATGTAAGATATCACGTGTAGGTCGAGTCGTCAACCAATTTCGACATGGCCTGCACGCCCGCTAAACCCTAAACCCTAAACTCATCCTACGCCAACGCCGCAGACTCCTGGACCCTCAGCTACGGGCTCCTTTCCCCCAAGCATCGCATTCTAAACCTTGTGACCCCAAACTCTCCATCGAAGAAATAATTCACTTTAAGGTAGGAGGAATTCGCGCCCGAACGCAATTCTAGCTAGGTCTTAAAGAACTGTGGGAGCCTCAAGCCTTGAACCCCAAACCTTACACCTCAAGCCCTAGCCCAGAAATCCTAAACCCGAACCCAAAACCCTCGCCTCAACCCCAAACCCCGAGCCCTGCAGGCAAGCCGACCCTGCGCACTGCCCGCGAGCCGAACGTGTCGAGGAAGGCCGGCGCAGGGGGAGGGGGGCGCGGAGGGCCCTGTATTAGTTGGAGGTCAGGGTAATTACCTCAAATGGACTTAGACATGACCCTAAACCCTAAGCCCTATTATTCGGGATTTAATTAGGTGTTGGGGTGTGATGGTTGGGTTGAGAGGTTGGAATTTGTTGGTTTAGGGAAGGCTCTGATGCTCTTAGCTCCCGAACGCCGCTGGCAAAAGATTGCAGCCCACATGATACCTAAACGTTAATCCCTCAACCCTAAATAGCTAATCTCTCAACCCTCAACTCCAAACCCTAAATCTTAAACCCCAAACTGATCTCAAGAAGTGGCTGCTTTGATTGCTTGTGATACAGGGCTTGAGCAGTCAAGGATGCTGGCCGTGACTAGGTAGTAATGACCTTGTTTTGGCCGCGCTCTATGAGTGTCATGTGGAGCCTTGTCATGCTGTCAAGCGGGGGCCTGTGGGTTTCGCCATGACAGTACAGGGCATGTCAGTCATGTGAGTGTTTTGCATGCCAGGGCTGTGGCTCAGCTAGCATTGAAGTGCGGTGGCCACTGCAGAAGGGTTTTGCTGCTCGTACAGGGACATGCAGTAATGCATCTCCGGGATTCATCTGCGGAAGAAAAGGTCCGACAAAAAAAAAAACTAAACGCAAATATGCCCGCAGAGGCCGCAAAGAAGATCTCCTTTAGGGAGGCTGGCCAGCAGAAGTGTTGCGGCAGCAGCGAATTCAGGGTTCTCCCCAAAATGGGCGGGTGGGTTTGGAGTCTGGGGGTGGGGGGGGTTAGGGTTCCATATAGCTATACCCTGCGCTCCCGAAGTCTATAGAACAATGGCCTTTTGACTCTTTGCAGGAGTTCTGGGCCATCTTTGGACCTACTGTTTGAGCAGGTAGGAATATTCGGGCGTATACATTTCGGCTTCCCAATTGTTGGAAATACTCGCCTGCAATCACATGAGGAGCATTGCAACACTTGAGCAGCGTTTTCTTTTACGGTAGATCAATCGTAAGTGCGCAACACAGAAACTCATCAAATCTTGGTCCGGAAACGAGGTTTTCCTGTGTGCGCGGAAGGACACGGAAGGTCCGCGGAAGCAAGCCCTTCGCGGAAGGGCTCGCGGAAGCTCATGAGCGTGCGCGGAAATCCCTACGTAGTCTTCCAAGCCCTTTCGCGGAAGCAGATCCC